GTGTAAAATTGCTGGTTTTAAACTTAAGCCTCCTGTTTGTTTGGAGAGCTGACAAGTCACTGCACATTTTTCTGAGGTTAAAACCAAGTGCGTCAGCCAGAACTTGCCACAATATTGCATCTTCTCATTAGTCTCATTGGATATTGCTCCTAATCTGCAAAATATCTAATGCTGCATATTGCCTGTAAAGACAGGAAGGCATGACGTCATGTGAAAGGCTTCCGAGCTGAGACACACTGATGAATAAAGTGGGGGAGACTGAGCTGTGGCCGTAAACACAACTGCTATAGCTGGCAAAACAAACACTTGTTGGACAAAGAACAAAAAGGAGTAGAATCACTTTCATGTTATAGTCAAGTATTACACATTTAAGCAGGCAATAAGCTAGGCACCTGTTTTTATCATGGCACCTTAAACTGGGGCTTTGCTCAAAAAACTTTTGATGATTTCTGTGTAGTGTGTATGTTGTTGCTGTGCTGTGCACTGATTATTTTCACTCCAAATCTGAATCCTCCTTTAAAATATTTATTAAAATGCCTAATAGTGTTAACTAATGCTTTTACTGCTATTTGTCCAAATCTGGAGGAATTATAGTTAGGATTTCTTCAAAGCCTAAAATATTTTAATGTTATTTTGCATCGAGCTGAAAATAAGCAAATTATTGATATGCGTATACAGTGGCCCCGCTGGGGCCGTGCTACAGGTGTCGATGTTGTTACTGACTCAGCTGAGAAACCCTGGACTGAACAACACCGAAGCACTCACCACACAACAGTCCATTCCACTGTAATCCCAGCCAGCCAAATTTACTGTTAAACGCCTGTTCGTTTCCACATCTAACCTGGATTCTCCTCCAAGTCTGACATAAAAAATAGAACAAAGGTCAAAAATAATGAGAAAGTGATAGTGGGGTTTTTTCCCTTGTATCTCACTGATAAAAATTATTTAAAATCCCACAGAGTACGTGCCTTCCATATTTAAAAGTGAGAGAGAATTGGAGTTGAGAGCCTGAGGAACGTCATGGCAGCAACAACAAAGACTTTGCCGGCTGAGCGACTGAGGGAGTGTGTCCTGCTGACCCACAGCTGTGACATGCCGGAGTAGGTGCTGTGAGGTTATTTATACTTTTCAGATACCTTCTGAGGGGTTTTAATGACACCCTGTTGTTCGGGCCACTTTACCTGCAGAATTTATTGTAAGTTATGGTGTTCAAAAGACGCTGTGACCATATGATGTTTCCAAGAGATGGGCTGACAGGTCCTTGTTCTGGTTGGGAATATAGTCAAATACAGAGGAAAACACAGGACTTTCCTCAAAAAGCAACGACGATGTGGCTGCAAAGCTGTGTATAGCTTTTTCTTATTGTAAAAAAAGTTAACCTCTGTCTTCTGTCTCCATGAGAATAATGACATGAAAGTGTAACTTACTGACGAAAATCGCTGGTTAAATATTGTGCAAAAATATTGGGTTCTGGAGTAAAATGGAGGGATA